CCTGGGGGGGTCGTCGTCGTCGCCCGTTTTCCCCCCCCCCCCCCCCCCGGGTCCCGCGAGCGCCCCTCGGGGGTCCAAGGCCGCCTCCTCTCGGCCGGGTTTCAGGCATCCTAGTCCGGAGAGTCCCGGCGGCTCAGCAGCCCGAGGAGAGTCCGGGCCCCGGGCAGGGACGGACGGACGGACGGCCTTCGGGGCTCCTTGTCCCAAGGGGGGCCCGGACTCCGGAGGGAAAGGAAGAAAAGGAAGCCGGGCCGACCGGAGCTCCGTGACCCACGGCCTGGAGTTGGTTGATACAATTTGCTCTTGGTTACAGATTAGATTAGGCATCCTTCAGTCTAGAGGTAATGTGCTCTGAATAGAGGACTTGGAACAGTGTCTAGTGTGGCTGAGAAGGCAATTTGAGAGTGGCAATCCCTTCCACATGGAAGACAAATACAATCTGTCCCCTGTCCAGCTCCCTGGTTTTGCTGGTTTCAGGATTACCTCTTTGCCTTGGCCTGCTGTCTCTTCAAAATGGGAGAGGCCACTGTGGTGGATGCCCACATCACACCTGTCAATCGCATTGGAACTTCATTTGCATGAGCCAATGGAAGGACAGGAGGGGTGGAGCAGAGTCCTGGGAGTTAGTTAGAGGAGTCAGTTAGTGAGGGGGAAAAGGTTAGAGAGAGTGAGAGAAATGAGTTAGAGATTTGCAGAAAGAGCTAGATAGTCAAAGTTAGAAGTGAGAGTTGTAACAAGTACGAAAGGCGCCCCCTTCCCATGTTTGTCCTTCTCCGGGCCCCGTAACTCACCGGCGTCGGCGAGAAGGCCGGGCTGGGACGAGGGAGGCGCGCGGCGTCGGTCAAGCAGGCCCGCGATTGGCTGCCCTGGAGGGCGGGAGTGCGCCGCCCTTCCCCGATTGGCTAGGAAGCGGCCGTAGAGGCGCGGGATTAGCTGCGTGGGGTTTGGGGTTGCCAACTCTGGGTGCCCTTGGAACGCCTTTGGAGGGCGGGCGCGCGGGCAGGAGAGAGAGAGATTGAGAGGGAGGGGGTGGGCGCCCCGAGCCAAAGGGCCACAGTCACGGCCGTGGTCCAGCTGCACTTCCGGTCCCTGCGGGGCCACTCTTTCCAACCCTGCCCGCGAGTCAGAGGATCCTGGGAGTGCTCATCGAGAGAGAGAGAGAGACAAAGTGGTGGGCAAGGGTGCCCACCCCGGAAGAACAAGAGTGAAACACACACACACACATGTTCTTTGTTTATGTATTGTAGCAAACATATAAAATTTACCAAAATAAAAAGGGTGGGACCTAAAATATAGTGTTCTATCAAAAAAAAAAAAATTAGAAGCATGGGAATGCAAGCAGATCCAAAAAAGGTTTCTCCAAGTCCCTATAAAGTGCCTTTGGGAAGCAGCCCCCCTCCCTCCCGCCATTTTAATTTGGCTGCTTGCTGGCTTCACTTTGTGAAGGGTCCGGGCGCGTCGTCCTGGGGCGAGGGGAGGCGTGTGCGCTCCGTGCCGCGGGCTGCTTGAAACCTGGCCAGGGATCCCGCGAGGAGGTCCTCCACTGCCCTGATGCGGAAGTGGCGTGAGGAACCCCCCCCCCCCCGCGCCCATCTCTTCCTTTGCTGTTCCAGTTCCTGGTGGGCTCATGTGGAGATGGGACCCCCCGACCCCATTCTGGGCGTGACGGAAGCCTTCAAGCGAGACACCAGCAGCAAGAAGATGAACCTGGGAGTCGGGGCTTACCGGGACGACAACGGGAAGCCCTACGTCCTCAACTGTGTCCGGAAAGTAAGCAAAGGCTCCTGCGCCTCCTTTTTCTGAACCCCCGGCCGGGAACGTCGCCAACAGGAAGGGAAGATTGGGGGAGGTGTTGTCGGATCCTTCCGGGCGGCCAGGGGTGCCTCACCCGGCTCTGGACACACAACCCCCTTCCCGCCCCTGCCTTCCGTGTGACTCGAGGTCGGGATCCCTTTCTCTAAAGCAAGCGGAGAGGCCCTGCCCTGCTTTTCAAAAAGGGGGGGGGGGTTCTGATTGAAGAGCCAAAGGTCGGGGGGAGGAGCAGGCATTTCCTCTCAGTCAACGTGGGGGGGAGAACCTAATGAAGAAATACGACCTCTTCTTTCTCTAGGCAGAAGCCCAGATCGCTGCTAAGAAGCTGGACAAAGAATATTTGCCTATTGCGGGTTTGGCCGAGTTCAACAAGGCGTCGGCCCAGCTGGCTTTGGGAGACACCAACGAGGTTATTCAGAGCGGCCGGGTAAGGAGCCGGGCCCATCACGTGGGAGGCGCAAACACACACCACCACCCCCGGTGCGGTCTTTGAGTGACGAATTCCTATGTCAGGAACCTCTGGGCTTCCTGCGAAGAGGAGCCCTTTTCACCCCCCAGTGTACGCCCGGGGATCCTTGGGCTGCTCAGCGTCAGATTCAAGGGTGGAAAGTGGGCTGACACGGGGCTCCCTCTTGCTGCCCACAAACTGAGCCCTAAAACCTGCCCAGCATCCCCAGGGCTGTGCATGATGCAAGGGGGAGGGACACAGAGTGGCTGAAGCATTTTCTCATCTCTTCCTCTCTGAGAGGAGGTGTTGACTGTGGCTGTTCTTCCTGGGGAAATCGGTTTGAAAAGTGCCCAAAAGCCACAGTGGTGTGAGCAGAGGCCTGATCCCCTGGCTTCATCAGGGAGGGGCACAGAGCGGGATTTGGTGCAGGGCCTGGGGCCTCGCTCTTCCAGAGGATCAAGGCAGTGCACGAGGGCACGTGTGACCTTCCCCCGTGGAGTTAAGGAACTGGAAATCGAGGCAAGACCAGTTCTGCAGGGCTCCGGAGATTTTGCAGGGAGTCCCCCACCTGAGGCCTTCAGCTTCTCATGGCTGTCAGGACATTGGGAGCATGAGCAGAGTTTTCGCTGAAACCTCCCAAAATATTCATTTGGGAACGGATTGGTGCCAGCAGCCCTTGCCTCCCTCTCACTTTTGGCCTCTCTGCGTCTCCTCGGCCCCAATGCCTGCTCCTGCTCAGCTTGGCCAGGGCTCCCGAGGAGCCTCTATCCTGGAAGATGCCGGATCACAGCCTTGAAATGAGGTTTTAATTAGGGTCTGTAGCAGTAATTCTGTCGTTATGCACACGTAGTTTGAACTTTGTTGCAACAGAAAGCCGTGAACGGGGTCCTGGCTCCAGGACCGCGACCCCTCCCCCCCATGGGGTGGGTTCCCTTCCCTAAAATTGCATTAATGAAATCTTAGTAACGCAAGTCCTCTTGCTTGCTCTTTCAGTATGTCACCGTGCAGACAATTTCCGGAACAGGATCTCTGAGAGTTGGTGCTAACTTCCTCGTGAGTGCTTGTTTAAATCTAACATCATTAAGGGGGGGGGGGGGGGAGGNGAGACTCAGGAGGTGCCTTTTGCCCCCCCCGACAGATGCTCCCTCAGGCCTGCTCTGGGCAACTGCAGTTTGTCTTTTCCTCTCCTCTTTACAGCAACGGTTCTTCAAGTCCAGCCGCGACGTGTACCTGCCCAAGCCATCCTGGGGGAATCACACCCCCATCTTCAGAGACGCTGGGATGCAGCTGCAAAGCTATCGCTACTATGACCCCAAAACCTGTGGCTTTGACTTCACCGGGGCCTTGGAGGACATTTCTGTAAGTTGAAAGAAGACAATAAGACAGTCGGGACCACCGACCTTTTGGGGCTGAGCTGATAGAATCTACTGGTAACTGTGAGGTTTCAGTGCCAAGCAGGTGTCCCTTCAGAGGCTCAGTTCTTGTCAGGAGGACTTAATAGAAACAGCAACAAGCCAGCAATCTCACAGTCTTCTGGTGGCTTAAAAACATGAGAGATTGGTATGTCTCTAGTAAAAGCTGTCCCAGGCAGAGACCGGTTCCAGTGAGATATGCAACGGGTGGGTGTGGGGGAGGCCCTTGTGCATTTCCTCTCTCTATATGGTTTGGGGTTCTCGGCGCTTCTTAGGATCAAGCAGGCCCCTTTCTTCTCTCTTTGCACTGAAGAAAATCCCAGAGCAGAGCATTGTCCTCTTCCACGCCTGCGCTCACAACCCCACCGGAGTGGACCCTCGGCCAGAGCAGTGGAAGGAGCTGGCGGCGGCTGTGAAGGTGAGGAGCGGCGCTCGGGAGCACATGGGCCGAGCACAGCCGGGGCCTCGTGGGGACGGCTCTGCCGGGGCAGGGGCTCTTGGGCCAGCCACTGCAGCCTGGGGCTGCTCCGTCTGCCCAGCGAGGAGCCCAAGGCCCAACCTCCGCCCCTTCCAGCAGCCAGGGGTGATCTCTGTGTTGCAGAACAGGGACTTCAAACTGCACTTTGGGGGAGAAGCATTTATTTTCCAGATTTGCCCAGAGACCAGCGAGGTGCATCTGCTGGGTCCTTGTACCCTGCAGGCTATTTTGTGGCCCACAATGTTTGCACAAGGTGCAGGTGGAGCTGCTTGAATGTAGCTGGTACTTTGTGCAAACAGAGAGGCCACAATCCCCATTGAGATCCTGTTGTCTGGGTGGGAAGGTCCAGCCGGGGTGTGGAGGTGGGCTCCTCTGGGCTCCTCTGAGGTGTCCTGCCTTTTGGAAATAGTGCCTCCCTTTCGAGCTTCATCAGCCTTTATTTTCCGTTTCCAGAAAAGGAACCTTTTTGTCTTCTTCGACATGGCCTACCAAGGCTTTGCCAGCGGGGACATCAACCGAGATGCCTGGGCCGTCCGCCACTTCATCGAGCAGGGCATCAATGTGGTCCTGTCCCAGTCGTATGCCAAGAACATGGGCTTGTATGGTAAGCACTCCTCTCCCTCCCCCCCCTAATGGCCAGCAGGTCTCGTTGCCTGCTCTGTGGGAGGGAAGGCGGATTAGAGGATTAAACGGTTGGCAGGAACTTTCACTTTCCGCTCAGTGACCCGCCAAGGCTGGAAACAGGCTGGACTTTGGACTGCTTCGGCTTTAGAGGTCCTGAGAGGTTAGAAATGGAAAAGCAGTCAGGGGGTGGGGAAGCTGGAGGAGCTGATGGAGGGGGCCATGGAAAGGCTCTGTGTGGATTCTTTAGCTGGAGGCTTTGTGCCACCCCATGAAGTATGACTTTCCTTCTAAGTCTTCTTTTCCCCCCCAGGTGTGGGGGCTTCCTATAGTGATGGACATACAGCCCGTGAAGGGGAGACGGGGTGCTTGAGAAGGGAGCAGTTTTGAAGGGGCAGGAGAGATCTGCTTTGTGCCCTGATCCTGGATTCTGGGCTTGTTCACATGTGTTCAGATTCTCTTTTGAGCTGCCAGGATAAAGCTCTGTTTTCAAAGAAGGAAATACGGGTCTTATGAGATCCTGGTGCACAGTTGTAAACAGGAGCAATGTGGCGAAAGGAACAGCCCAGCAGCAGCA